TCTGGACCAGTGGTTCTTGAGAAGAAGTTTTTCAAAGATTTTTCCTATATATTTCTATGTAAAACTTTGATTCCCAATTGTGGCCCCGCCCTTCCCCCGGGGGTCATGATTTGAACAATTTAGAATCTACATTATACCAGGATGCTTCCACATAAGTTTCAGCTTTTCTGGCCCAGTGGTTCTTGAGAAGAAGATTTTCAAAGATTTTTCCCATATATTTCTATGTAAAACTTTGATACCCCATTGTGGCCCTGCCCTTCCCCCGGGGGTCATGATGTGAACAATTTAGAATCTACACTATACCAGGCTGCTTCCACATAAGTTTCAGCTTTTCTGGCCCAGTGGTTCTTGAGAAGAAGATTTTAAAAAAATTTTCCTATATATATTTCTATGTAAAACTTTGATTCCCCATTGTGGCCTCGCCCTTCGCCCGGGGGTCATTATTTGAACAATTTAGAATCTACAGTATACCAGGATGCTTCCACGTAAGTTTCAGCTTTTCTGGCCCAGTGGTTCTTGAGAAGAAGATTTTCAAAGATTTTTCCTATATATTTCTATGTAAAACTTTGATTCCCCATTGTGGCCTCGCCCTTCCCCCGGGGGTCATGATGTGAACAATTTAGAATCTACACTATACCAGGCTGCTTCCACATAAGTTTCAGCTTTTCTGGCCCAGTGGTTCTTGAGAAGAAGATTTTCAAAGATTTTTCCTATATATTTCTATGTAAAACTTTGATTCCCCATTGTGGCCTCGCCCTTCCCCCGGGGGTCATGATGTGAACAATTTAGAATCTACACTATACCAGGCTGCTTCCACATAAGTTTCAGCTTTTCTGGCCCAGTGGTTCTTGAGAAGAAGATTTTTTAATGACCTAACCCTATTTTTGCCTTTTCTTGATTATCTCCCCTTGCGAGGGGATATGTCCCTTCGGACAAAATGTGATCACAAAAGCTCACTTGAGCCTTCTGCTCAGGTGAGCTAGAAATGAATTGATTTTACTCCCGTCGAGAAGACGAGTATAAGATCCTTAAGTCCAAATCTTTATCTTTCCAACACCTAGGTGTCGGTAACAAACGGGGGAGGGGAGCAATAAACCTAAAAAGGGTACGCTGCATTTTCAATGCTAATACGATGTATATATCTTTCCAAAATAAGTGGGGGGCTTAGCCCCCCACCCCCAACCCCACCCCAGGCCCGTCGCCCAGTCTTGATGTCTATGCTATACTCAAAGCATTCATATAATTATGTATTTACTTAACTGGTATGAAGTTGAAAACTTTTAATAATAAATGAGTCAATTAAAACAGATGAAAACTAGAAATTTTTAAGTACAGTAAAACGTATGAGAGAGAAAGAATTTTCATAGTATTGAACAATCAAATTGGCCCCTTTTAATTATGATAAATGCTAAGTTGCTTGAAGCTGTCCTCTGTTGGTGCCCCCTATACACCTTTACATCTACTTATCAAAGAATAGAATTAATATCAAAGTACTGAAAGCACTCATGGGAGTTGAACATGGTGTAAATAAAATCTTTGATCGGGAGGTTTAGTGAGTGAACAATATTACATGTATTATTTATTATTATGTCTGTTTTTTTCAAATACAGACAACTGTTTCACATTTTTTGAGTTGGAACAATCTTGATCGAGAAAGACATTCAGAGACATTAAATAGCAAAAAAATGCATGGGCCATAATGCTTGCCTGTCTACATTAGTCCTTTTTTATACCCCCTGCTTAAAAAGCGGGAGGGAATTTATTAATCGTGATTTCCGTCCATCTGTTTGTTACACTTTAGGTATACCCATCTCTTATCTGCAACTCCTCTAACACCACTGAACAAAATTTTCATAGAATCTTTATTACATATTGCCGTTGTACTTTTATTACTTTTTCATCCTACACATATTTTGGGTTTCCCATTGCAAAACGTGCACACTGCCATTATATTCATATTAGAGGCGGTTGATCATTTATTTCACTGCTCACAGTCTTCAAATTTGCAATATATTTTCCTTTGCACCTTTACCCATGTGTTATGAAAATTTCAGTTTCGCAGGAATAATATCAATGTTGATAAAATGTGGATTTTAACACAGCATCCTTTTAAGAGCTAACAGGTTTGTTATATAAAACTTCTCTGTGAATAAAAATGTATTTCAATTACACGAAAATTATACATGGAGTACGCCAGAACTTAATCTTTTTTTATATTGTGAGGAAAAGAGCAATACCAAGTTAAAAACAAATATTTATTGACAAAACATAAAAACAGTGGTATATGTGAGAGTTTGTGTGCGTACAAATTATCTGTGCGTACAAAATATCTGGTATGTAAATGAGGTTTTCCTTTTATTAAAAAAATATACTTCATCTTGTTGTTTTTAATCGCGATTTTACGAAAACACCGGTGTCTGTTTTTGGTTTTAATATTCATAACATAGTACTAGTTTTACCGCTTTTGGCGGGTGATACTGCTGCTTAAGTAATAAATACCCATGTTTCCTAAAGTTTTTATGCATTAACGAATTCAATTAAACCAAGAAAATGTTCATGAAAAGTTTGAATAAGACTAAATTTAACGTTTGCCGCCAGTACGTAGAGCTGTCGTTCGTATCTCTTTCAGTGTATGACACTACACTAAAAATGAGTTCCATTACGAAAAACTTTCATGGTTCTTTATAATTTAGTTTTACATATGTACTTTGAACGAAGTCTAATATTCAAAATAAGATTACTTTATCATTACGTTTACTTAGAATAATTTATGAAAATTAGATGTTTATGCATGTTTTCTATTGAATATCATCGGAGTAAATCAGCCGACACAGTAGCCTCGCTTTCGTCTCTATGTAATCAACACAAATTACTGCGCATGTTAAATACGTGATGACCATAAATAAAATAAATAATAATAATAAAGAATTAACGAATTAATGAACTTAAACAATCGTCACCCTTTTTTTCAAGACCTTTTAATTTTCCCTTTTATTTTATCAAAACCTTAAATATTTAAAACGTCAATATCTCAGGTCCTACAGTGACTTTATCATAAAAATGTTATCAAACCAGCATCTGTTATTTATCATACGGATTATTTGAAGGAATATTGATCAATCTGAGAATTTTTTTCAATATGGTCGATATTAACGCACTTTGAAAAAATTATTTTTTTCAAAGTGCGTTAGATTGGTCCCAAATTTTAACGCACTTTGGAATTTTTTTTCAAAGTGCGTAATTTTTCAAAGTGCGTTGTAACACTAGTCTCTTGTTTGGAAAATATAGGTCAGATCCAGCATCAGAAGCAAGTCTGGTAGTGTCCATCCCTAGATGCATCATCGACATCCATGCAAAATTGGTTCAGGTAGGGCTTATAGTTACTTGGGAATGAAAATATAGGTCAAATCCAGCATCTGAAGCAAGTCTGGTAGTGTACATCCCTAGTTGCATCATCCATGCAAGTTTAGAAATGGACCTGCTCCAAAAACTTTAACCTGGTCACTCATCTGGAAAATGTAGGTCAGATCCAGCATCCTAAGCAAGTCTGGTAGTGTTCATCCCTAGATGCATCATCCGTGCAAGTTTGGTTTGGGTAGGGCTTATAGTTCCTCGGAAATAGACCTGCTCCAAAAACTTTAACCTGGTCACTCATCTGGAAAATGTAGGTCAGATCCAACATCTGAAGCAAGTCTGGTAGTGTTCATCCCTAGATGCATCATCTGTGCAAGTTTATATCAACATGTAAAGTTTGATAACACCATTTTGAATGGTATGTTTAAAACTGAGCTAAACACTAATTTAAGAAAAGTGAGGTCAAGGTCAAAGGAAAGGTCAAGGTCAAAAAATATTGACGCAGTTGCATAGCTCTAATCCATATCTATCAGCATATGAAGTTTGATGAAAATATCTTGGATAGATTCTTTGAAACTTAATTAGCTTTGAACAGAACTAATTATAAACACAAAGTGTGACAGAAGAACAGACGGAAGGACAGAAGGATGGAAGACAGACCTGACAAACACTATATGACCCCACCATATTCATGGCGGGGCATAAAAATTATTTCAATACAGAACCCTTTAGATCTACTCCCTAAACATTGTCATTTTGAAAATAAAGGACAGATCTAGTGTCTGAAGCAATTAAACAATTCTAGTAGTGTTAATCCCTACAAGCATCATCCAAGTTTGGTCCAGGTAGGGCATACAGACACTTAAGAATAGAGCTGCTCCTAAAAGTTTAACCTAGTCATTCATCTGAAAAAAAATGTATATCTAGCAACCCAAGCAAGTTTGGCCATGTCCATCCCTAGATGCATCTTTAGGACACAATATTTTTATTCTTCTTATCCATTCAACAAATATTTATAAATTTTCTGGAATAAACATTTCCACACTTAAGGTCAAGATCTAGTAAATGAAAGATGCCTACAGATTTATCAAATTTGAGAAATAAATTCCTTTAATGCTGCTTTATAAATAAAGCTTGGCCAAATAAGGTGTTTCGGATCATAATTTTTAGGTATAAACAAGATGAAAAACCACATTTTAAACAGTCATTTTCAATGTAAAATTAAGAAAACCGATCACGAATATGGGAGTTTTTTCGTATTCGACAAAGGAAATTTATCCAGATTGCCTACAGTGTCTCAGAAAACGGTAATTTGTATGTTCACGGTCTCTTCTTTAAAATTATGTCAAATTTCATATGGGTATCCAGATTACTTTTCATATAATTTCAAATTAAATGCCATGAAAATACTCTTTTTTCTACATAATTCTGCTACAGCTGTAAAGTACGGGAAAAACAAAGTTGAAATTGATTATGACGTCATAATGGATCTAGCACCACAAAATCAGTCTAAAGTCATTTACTAGATCTTGACCTTAATTCTAGCTACCAACCCAAGAATTTTACCCCAAATGTCGACAGAGCAAGCAAACATTCTTTTAAATATGGTCTAAAATAAGTATAATGAAAAACAATGAAGAATTTACCCTTTTGATTTCAGTATATGTCTTGTTCTCTTTGCATGGATTTTATAGACTTCTTCATAGCATTCCTGATCTGATAATACAAAAAAACTTCTAGTTAATAGAGTCATTTTAAGGACGCAAAGCCTTCTATCACGTTTATGCAGTCTTTCTTCTTTCTGTTAAATCACTGGGATGGACAAGATTACCAATTTTCAACAGAACATCAATTTTGAACATGTTGAACTGTATCTTTATTTGCATAAATGTATACATCTATATATTTCCATTTCTAAATTTTTTCTCTATAATAACCCTTTGAAAGTAAGTGGAGTTGATTTCCTGATAATTCTGCCGGAATGTAAATTAGGCAGGTCGATAGGTCAGCAGCTAAGGAGGCCTAATACACATGCAAATCTCGTGCGCATCTGTCTCTGTGTCTGATGCTAAGGAGGCCAAATATGCATGTAAATCTTGTGCGGCTTCCTTTGTCTTTGACGTCAGTGTGCGAGTACTATTGAAATTGGCATGGAAGTCCTCGTGTAATTTAAATCGATTAGTCTACATTCTTAATGTCTAAGTCTACAATTTTATTTCACAATGAAATGGAAATATAAGGAATCACTGTCTAGTTTTGAGAGTATGCCAGGGACATCAACAATAGTAGGAAACATGGGATAATTGCAGCATAACGGGCTTTGCCCGTTATGCAAATTATCCTATGTTTCCCACTATTGTTGATGCCCTGGCATACTCTAAGAACTAGACAGTGATTCCTTAAATAACCTAAAAACTCTCCTACTAAACAAGAATAACCATGCTAAACAAACATTAGTGTTTTTGCAAAGGTTTCTCTGATATAAATCAACATTGTATATACATCTATGAAGCCAATGCTTTTTTCCATTCTGAATTGTTATTATTCTAATTACATTGTACTTTTGCAACAATTATACAATTTTTATCTGAGAGGTCTTGCAGTTACTTGGATAAAGATCTACTCTAAAATTTCAAAAAATCAAGAAATTAAATGTGATTCAAATCCAGGATCTGGAGCATGTTTTAGTGTTAATCCCTTTATGCATATCATCTAGGCAAGTTTGGTTAGTACAGGCCATATACAGTTCCTTGTGATAGACCTGCACCTGTAACTTTTACCTGTCAGTGGTCCATTTTCTGGAAAATTTATGTAAAATCCAGCATCCAAAACAAGTCCATTAGTTATCATCTTTAGATGTATCATTTATGCAAATTTGCTCAAACCAAGGGCATTCTTATATGTATCAACCATGCAAGTTTGGTTATCATATGGCTCACAGTAACTTGGAAATGAGGCCTCAGAATCAGAAATTTTATTTCGAGTCGGATTTTTTTAAACAGAAACATAAGCTCTGTAGAGCCTGCACCAAAACATTAACCTATAATGCAAAAATATGTAGTTTATATCAAGCATCCAAAGCAAGCCTTGTAGTATGCAACCTTGGATGTATCATCACTGCAAGATTGGTTATCATGGAGCTCATAGACTTGTTACTTGAAAAGAAAATACCTGCACCAAAAACCTTTATCTGCTCACTCATGCAGAAATGTAGGTGAGCTTCCAGCACCCAAGCAAGCCTGACTGTATGCATTTTTATATTATCTTCCATGCAGTTTTTGTTAACAAAGGGCTTATATAGTTACTTAGATTATTCACCTGCACTAAAACTGCACCCAAATGTTAATATCCTAAATACAGACAAACATACAAGGATTAAACAGTATGCACCCCTATCTTTCAGTAGGGTGGTATAAAAATCCCTATCTTAGCCCTTTTTGGGTGAGGGAAGGTTAAAGAAAATCAATAAGGGGGAGGGGGACTAAACAGATTCAATAGACAGAGAATTCAACTGACCAAAATCATAATGTGCCTTAAAACATTTCAACTTACATTTATAAGCTTCTGTTGAGATGTATTCATTCGTACAATCTTCACAGGTCTTCTTATAAAACTCCTGGATTTTTCCACCTCTTAGATTGTATTCTGCACAATGCCCTGTAAATATAAATCAGAGCAATAAATCAGGTTAATCAAAAATTACCTAATTCTTTGTATAAATTTATTAATTAAATACATTAAATACCCATATAAGTATGAAATCATATTACATGATATTTTGCAAGAACAGAATTCAAAGAAATTCTAAATCATATTTATGAATTTTGATCAAATGCATAACAGACAATTATTTGAAATTTGACATAAAGCTTTAGTGAATACATTTTTTATTTCTTTAGAAAAGCTAAAAAAATTTCAGAGGACAGTTTAATATTTTAATTTAACAAATAAAAACATTCAAATGGAAAAGAAAACCTAATATTTTTGAATACCTTTTAAAGTTATCAATAAAATTTTTTTAAACATTATCGCAGCTGGGGACAATATGCGAGACAATCAAATACAAATTATTCATTTTATTTTCATGATTAGTTTTTATATATTTTCTTGTTGCCTTTTTGTCCAACATTCTTGTTGTAAACTGAATTAATATGGTAAGTTTGCATCATCAAAGAAATAGCATATGAACGGGATTTTTGGATAAAATTTCAACTTGATTATTTCGTCTAATGTGCAGATACATATTGTATATGTAAAAAAAAAAAGCTTTGAACATAGCATGCAACCCCTGATTGGAAATTCTGTGCTAAATTAAGATCTTACAGATAGTGCTGTACTTCACTTATAAGTGACTTATGGATGACTTATGCTCCATAAAGTATGAAGGGTTAATGCTTGACTTGTGTCACTTATAGTCACTTATAAGTGACTATACTTGCATAAAGCATAAGTGGCTAATACTGGCTTAAATGTCACCTTATGTCAAGCAGCTCATTTGCATATAAAATCCCTATGAGTAACTTATTAGTCACTTATAAATCAAATGTATCAGTGAAGTGTAAGTCCAGAATAAACAACTTATAAGTAAATGAATAAATCACTAATAAGTCACTTATCAGAATTTTCTGTAAGGGAATTGAATAAACTAAAATATATATTGAATCTACACTTAGGAATTTGTTTCCATATTTCTCTGATTTGTTGCATTCACCTATATTTCAATGTAAAACCTTGATTCCCAATTGTGGTCCCGCCCTATCCCTGGGGTCATGATTTGAACAATTTAAAAGAATCTTTACATCACATAAGTTTCAGCTTTCCTGGCCAAATGGTTCTTGAGAAGATTTTAAAAGATTTTTTCTAATTATTTCTATGTTTAACCTTGATTGCCTATTGTAGCCCCACCCTAAACCCCCAGTTAAGTCATGATTTCTACAACTTAGAATCTACACTACACCAGCATATTTATGTTCCCCAAACGGAGTTTGGGAACATATTGTTTTTACTCTGTTTCTTATTATTATTATTATTATTATTTTTTTTCTTATTTGTTCTCCGGTACTTTTTTGTCCGCGAGTGTTCTCAGAAACTGTTCATCCAACTGAGCTAAAACCTTTTTAGGGTTAATAGGTGTGTAGTGTAGGTGTGCGGAACGAAGGTCATTTTGCGCGCATACGCCTGCACGTGCGTGCGCGTGAAGTGAGTGAAATGACTGATATACTTAATATGGCTATAACTTTTACATTTTTTGATGAAATGCTTTGAAACTCATTACTTAAGGATATATTAAAAGTGTTAATAATATGACACTGTCAAATTAGCACGAACTCACGCGCATGCACGTGCGCCTTGCTCTGATTGGCTGAAACAAAAATCTCAATTTCTCTTTTGTTTTTAGACGAAATGCTTTGAAATTTTAAACTTTGTCATGAATTAACACATCCTACTATATAGTATGGAAAAAATTTCATGAAATCACGCGCATGCACGTGCGCTGCAATCTGATTGGCTGAAACTTTAACTGGCTATATCTCCTTTGTTTTTTGACGAAATGCTTTGGAATTTAAAACATAGTTTTTCATTAGGATATCCTGCAATATAATATACAAAAAATTTCAACAAATCACGCGGATGCACGTGTGCTGCAACCTGATTGGCTGAAACTTTAAATGGCTATATCTCGTTTGTTTTTTTGACGAAATGCTTTGAAATTTAAAACATATTCATACATTGGGATATCCTACAATATGATTAAGAAAATATTCATGAAATCACGCGCATGCACGTGTGCTGCAATCTGATTGGCCGAAACTTGAAATGGCTATAATTCCCTTGGTTTTCAACCAAACAGGATGGGATTTAGAATAAAGATAGATAAAAGAGCCTCCTACAAGAAGGTATGGTCATCATGCACGTGCATGCCCGTGCGTGCATTTGGAACGAGTGAAACTAAAAATACACTTGAATGAGTGATATTTAATACTTTTGGACTAAATGGTTTAATATATAGTATATTTAAATATATAGAAAATTGTAGACAAGATGATATGATCATTGCGCACGTGCATTCACATGCGCACGCCTGCAATTTTAAAATTTGAATATAATTGGTATCCCTCTGGGAAAACGTTGTTAAAGGCAAAAATGCACAGATGTTGTCTTATTTAATAAGGCTTAAATGGAATATGGCACCAAAAGGGAGTTGGGGAGCGTTTGGGGAACATCTGTAACGGTTCCCGTTACAATTAGCACTAGTTTCACATAAGTTTCAGCTTTCCTGAACCAGTGGTTATTGCTCAGAACATTTTAAAAGATTTTCCCATAGTACTTCTATGTAAAAATTTGATTCCCTATTGTGGCCCCACCCTACCCCTGGGGGCCAAGGGGAGAGAAGATATGCTCCTCACAAAAGATCTTGGACGGACAGACTTATCACTATAGGGCGCCCGCCGAGTGGGGCCCTAATGATTACCTGCATTAATTTGAGTTTCTGGTGCACATACTTCAACTGTGGCATTCTGCCATGGATTTATGACACAGTGATATGAAAGTTGTCCTTTACATTTATGATTATAATGTGAACAGTTCTTCATCTCTGCAGCTCTACTCCATGTAAGTTCATCTGTAGGGCATTTAACAACTTCAGTCTGTGTACTTTGTGAGGCTTCACAAAATTCAGAGTCCAATATTGCAGAATGTATATGTGGAACACACATGATCTGAAAATGTGAAAATGAATAGATTATACATGTACATTCACAAATAAGCTAACAGTTATTAATTCAGGGGTGCAAATAACCAGTTGCTCACAACTAAAATATAACAATTTTGCTGTGTGGGACTACCCAAGTCAAAGTGGAAGGCAGTTCTTTAGCAGTTTTTTAACCTTAACAGTTCAGTGCTTTAGCAGTTCTTAGACAGTTTACTAGCCTTCTTCTCTCCTTAGGCAGTTTTCCTTAGCAGTCCACAGTTTAAGCAGTACTTAGCCAGTTCATTAGCAGTAACTTAGCAGTTGCTTAGCAGTTTCCTTAGCAGTATCTAAGCAGTCAATAGGAAGGTTAAGGAGAACTGCTTAAAAACTGCTTAATAACTGCTAAGGTGTTTCTTTTGTTTGCTCTACTTATATGGAAATGACTCTGAGTGACCTACATATAAATTTGAAAATTTATTACTGCTTAAAAACTGCATGGTAAAAAGAATGCTATAAGCACTATTCTTGTCTACTTTTAAGAACATAACACCACCCATATACATGATATATGAATACAAATATGCATATAATTTTTGCTTCCGGCAGGGTAATTTATTAAAAATGACATCATATGTATATATTGGAAATTTGACTTAGTATTGAGATTTAGATCTAAGGTATGAATTGTAAATGAGTCCTTTCATTAAGTCCATTTTCTTGCATAAACGTCAGTGGCATCTTTAGAGCTTGGGTAATTGATACAGTGGACTAATCTATGGATCCCTTTATCAGTAGCTTATAAATTTATTGGCAAATATTTTAATTTACATTAATTTAGTACTTATGATTAAAATATAAAAAACTAGATTATACGTTTTATAATTTAATACTTATCCAAATGAGAAGAGGGTATGCCTATTATATCACAAGCCAACACACTTACCATATTTTCTGAAGCATACTTTAATTACTGCCAACAAATCTTTTAGCAATTTTCCTATATCACCCAATTCCAATATATTGTTTGATCAGATTTTTATAATAATGATCTCCCATCTCATGGAAATAAATTCAGATACACTTGTCACTATATAAATATTAAGTTCACATCCAGTCCAATGTGGTGATCACAGATAATATTGTATTTTCCATAAAGCATATTTTACTTCTTCACTGTATAGGTATAAATATATATATAATATCCCAGACCATCACAAACATCTTCACAATTTGTAATTTTGAACTGATGTGGAAAAGGCGCACAAATCTTGACTGGCTTTCCTCATTGGATACAACCCTATAGTTTCAAGCAACCAAGGGGGACACAGCAGGTTGTTAATGTAACTAGACGGCTGGATTTGCAAGTTGATGGGATAAAGATTAGAAGCTCATATGCTCATGCTTTTTATAATATGAAGCCTCAATTTATTACAAACTATTGTATCATTTCTAGTAAGATTTTTAGTATATTTTTTTTCTATGTAACTTTATTTTCTGTATAAGAACTCCTGCCTGGCCCCCAATTATTTGTGACGTTATCATCAGGAAGCATTAACAGTAACACATGGGCAGTAATGAAGGCTAGTGAAAGTTAGGACCACCAAGAGTGAAAAAGTGTTGTATTACTTCTTATAAGAAGTCGAAATGAATTAGTTGCACTTTTAGCAGTTTTTAGCAGTTTTGAGAAACTGCTTGTTTGACAGCTTAAGTTTCTTCAATACTGAACTGCTGTACACAAATTCTTAGCAGTTTTTAAGCAGTCTGTAAGCAGTTTTAAGGAATGCTAAGACTGAGACTGTTAAGAACTGCCTAAAAACTGCCAAAAAATTGCCAGACTGCCTAATAACTGTTTATAAACTGCTAAAATAAGCAGTTCATTTTGACTTGGGTATTCTTGAATTACATGTTTTCACCCATATGGTAAGCATCGTAAGGTAGAATTTCATCAAAACTTTTCTTGCTATGCTTTTATTCTAAAATTGCATAGCCATACGTACATTTAAATTTGCCCTTGGATAGGCCTCAAAATTAGTGAAAACATTAATTACAATTTATCAACTCATGGTATCATCAGAGAAATAAAAGAATGAGGACAGAAAAAAATAATTTGTGGAATTTAAAAACAAGAGGTCCACAGGCTTATAGGCCACCTGAATATCAGGCAAAAACTTTCCAACAATTGAATTTGGTTCGTGTTTGAAACCACAAGCATCATTATTTATCATAACTATACACACTTAGCATGCTTTACTTTGTTTACTGAATACCCAGAGGTAGATTAGTATTTTCAGACTACGTAACACCCCCACCACCACCACAACTATACCCCTGAACCAGGGGCTCTGAAATTAACCATTTTGGAAGAGTTACCTGTCTTCATCATAAATTTGTACCTAGATCATTGGCATATTATTCAAAGAATTAATGCATTTTCACAATATAATCATTAGAGCCCTGGCCGCCCTAACAACAGAACCCCTGACCCAGGGGCCATGCAATTCACAAATTGGGAAGAAGCATCCTTCCTCATCATATAGTTCATTAGTTTAATACCCAGGAGCAATATGGAGAAGATTTTTAAAGAATTGATGCATTTCCACTGTATAATCAATAGAGCTGTACCCTAACACTATAACCCCTAATCCTGGGGCCATGGAATTCACAATTTTGGAAATTGCAGTGTTATTCAACATAATCATGTACTTGGTTAGTTAATTAAATACATGGGAGCAGAGAGGAAGATTTTCCAAAGCATTAATGCATTTTTACTATGTAGCCAATAGAGCCCCACCCTAACACCTCAACCCCTGACCCTGTGGTCATAAAATTCAGAATTTTGGAAGAGGCATTCTAGCTCATTATAAATACGTACTTAGTTTGTTTCTTTAATACCCAGGAGCAGAGGGGAATATTTTCAAAGAATTAATGTTTTTTCACGATATAACCAATTAGAAACCCACCATAACACCAGAACCCCTGACCCAGTGCAAGGGCCATAAATTCACAATTTTTTAAGAGGAATTCTTGCTCATTATTACTATGTACTAATAATTAAAAATAGTTTGTTTCTTTTATACCCATGGCCAGGAGCAGAGAAAAAGATTTTCAAAGAAATTATACATTTTCACAATATAATCTGTTAAGCTGACCCAGGGTCCAAGAAATTCACAATTTTTGAATTTTTGGAGTCTTATTCAACATATCTATGTACTGGTTAGTTTATTTAATGTCCAGCAGCAGAGAAGAAGATTCTCAAAGAAATAATGCATTTCACTATAATCTATATAATTATCTCCACCCTAGCACTAGAACTTTTTTTTTGTTATTTTCAAAGAATCGGCATTAACAGGAAAAGTTACATTTAGAATCAGTTAAATATTTTATTTTGTTGATCATGTTGATGAAGTATATACTGTATACATACTAAGTTTGAAGTGAGATAATTATAATGCCTGTTGACCACAAATTGGCCCCAAAAGAAATAAATGATGTAAATGAGATCTTGAATTCATTATCTTACATGTACTTACCAATATCAAATGTTTTAAACATATGGTAGAGAAAGCCATTGTTGGGGTGGTGTTAATGGCATCTAATGTTAGACTGACTTCACCTTGAACAGTATAGATCTACAAAATTTTTAATTTATTTACAGTCATGACTCATGAGTGAAAGTGAAACCAGGCACAGATACAGGGGTCAAACCCATCAACATGCAAATTTTAATTATTTAATTCTGAGGGCAGGGGGATTGAGCCATTTTCCATCACTTTTCAATCTTTATACTTGGGATACTGCATGGGGTTGGCTCCTGACATGTAACAATATTTTGTTAAAAATTTATATATTCTACTTGAACAACATATGCTACATGATACATCAGTACAGTCATCACAGTGAAGCATAAACAAGGCAACAAGGGTGTCCTTTTTCAGAAAAAGGGAGCATTAAAAGTCAGCTGAGCACGATCGAATGACTGTGCATTTAGCACGTTTAATTTTGAAAAATTCAGGTCTGGGTCCAGGCGTACGTACATGTACACAACCCTAGATCCGCGCATGGAATCGTGTTTAATCATCAACTTGATCCAATCTGATTAAAATCAGATCCTTTGATCCGGTCACATACATGTAGATCGCTACACAAGCGTAGCGATCTATGTGAGCGGATCAAAGGATCTGATTTCAGGGGCGTAGTATCCGGGGGGGCCAGGGGGGGCCAGGCCCCCCCACTTTTTCTCCCGACATTACCTTTACTATAGAAAATGTTTACTGAAATGAAGGTTGGCCCCCCCACATTTCAGCAAAGGGTAGTGTTATAAGAAAATTAACCCCAAAAAGTTTGAATTGAAAGATATTTGGTATTGAAAAAAGTTAGCCACTACCCCCCCCCCCCCCCCCCCCCCCCCCCCCCCCCCCCGAAATAGGATTTTCGACTTCGGGCAACTTTTAATTTTTCGTTTTTTTTTTTTTTTTTTTTTTTTTTTTTTTTTTGCTTGTCAACTTTTTCAGGTAAGTAAAAAAAAATTTTTCTCAGGTTGGCCCCCCCACTTCCAAAAACGATGCTACGCGCCTGGATTTTAATCAGATTGCAACTTGATCTATTATTTAATTATTTATCGTGTTCACATAATGAAGTAATATATTAATGGAACTTGAGAAATCACCAACACACATTATGATTATGTACATATTAAACATAAATGTTTGTCTATCTAAAAATGTCAAAAATGCCCTTTACCGTACTATTTGCTTTCTGTTTTACATTCACTGCAGTGCAGACCATGCCTGATGTCAATAAAATGATAGAGTCGGATGAAGTTTCACTTTCAGGTCTGGTTATTCCCGGGGAGGGGACCAGACTGGGTGTTGCTAAAACGCGGAACGGAAAACGGAACGGAAAGCGGAACGGAACGGAAAACGGAATGTATCATTTTGGATTAAATCACTTAAAATACACAAATTTCATCATAAACTATATATCGTGTACATATTCAATCCCCCACTGTTAAATACACGTTGATTTTGTCATGCTCAGTCTCTTATTTACGAAAATCGCTAAAATAGCAGTCACCTAGAATCGAATTTGAAAAGGGGTTGTGGGTGGGGGGTGGAGACGTACTTGAAAAGTAATTGATAAGCAAAAACAAAAAAAAGGACAATTGTTTGATTTGGGAGGGAGAATAAGTTCCTACTCCAACATCTTTCAGTACTATTTTCTTTTACAGTAACTTACTACATTAATAACATTCACAAACAAGAGGCCCAGGGGCCACAGCACTCACCTGAGCACATCAGATTTGGACGAACTAGAATCTACACAACCTGAGGAAAATTCTACATAAATATAACTAATTATAGCTTTGAAGTACTTGAAAAGATTTTAAAAGGTTTTCCTATATATTCCTATGAGAATTTTTGGTCTGCCATTTAGGCCCCACCCTATATCCGGGGGTCATGGTTTGAACAAACTTGAATCTACACTACCTGAGGATAGTTTCACATGAATTTCATCTTTCCTGTCTCAATGGTTCATGAAAGAAGATTTTTCCTAAATACTCCTATGTAAACCTTTGATCGGCCATTTTGGCCACGGCCACCCTACCCCCGGGGGTCATGATTTGAAAAACTTGAATCTACACTATCTGAGGATGATTCCACATGAGTTTCATCTTTCCTGGCCTAAGGGTTCTGGAGAATTTATTTTTGGCTCAGGTGAACTAAAAAGTGTGAGGATGTCAACTTTAACGAACATTTCCCTAGTAAAAGGTTATGACTGGGGGGGGGGGGAGCAAATATTTGATATCTAGATGAACCATGGAAAGAGATAAAAAATGTTAAGATTACGTTTAGGGCAAACCCTTACGGCCAACTTGAACAATAAACACATTGGTTTTAAAATTTTATTCAAAATAGAGTCGCTTTCTATATATTTAAATTTTGGATAAACAAAGTTGGAAAACTTTCATGTGGTAGATATAGTGCAGAATCTTTGCATTCAGTGAAGTTAAATTTTGTTTGTTTGCGGTACATATGTGTGTATGTTTGGGGGGTGTATACGAAAAATGAGTTTGTTTTCCCGCTAATCGGAAATGTCTGAGAAGTGTTATACATGTAGGTCTGCCCCCCTTTGTGTCCAAAATATACATAAGGTTTAATAAATAACTGAATTTTTAATGTGGCTGTGGGCCCCTACACAGACCCGAAACTGACATTTCCCCTGTCAGGACTCGAATTCGAAACTGTGTGCTTAATCTGAATATCATAACTAGTATTTTTTGTCTCTACAGATATTGATGATGGAAACGAATTGAAGGACGGGGGGGGGGGGGGGGGGGGGGGGGTTCATTCAGGAAAGAATTTCCAACATACATTAAATTTGACAAGCAAAAAAAGGGGGAATACGTCCTTTGTCCAAACGCAAATCCTATTTCGTGTGTGTGTGTGCGGGAGGGGGGTTCGAATTTCTTTCAGTACAGTTTTCTTCCATGGAGGGTGTGTATGTCTGAATATATAATAGATGACTGAATATATCATAGTTTACAATAAATTTTTATTAGAAATTACTTTTAACAACAGAATATTGAGCACTCTTTTATCTGATTTATATCAAATCCATGTTATTTGTTTGACAAAAATTTTCCGTTTTCCGTTCCGTTCCGCTTTCCGTTCCGTTTTCCGTTCCGCGTTTTAGCAACACCAGACTCAGTGATCGGCAGTCCTCGACTCCATTGTGTGCGAGGTACGAGTCCCCGCGAGGAGCTCCGAGTGGTTCAACCGCTTTCAAAAAACCGGGGGGGGGGGGGGGGGGTAGGGTGGTCTAAATTCCTAGTCTCGTTTTCCCCAGACTCTCGCTCTCGAGACTTTGCCCGAGCGAGAGTCTGGGGAAAACGAGACTACTAATTTCCCTTTTTAGTAGCAAAAACAGACAGCTTTTATTGATAGACATGACATGATAGGCATTGAAAATTGGGATTTACCTTTTTAGGTGGTTTAGCCCCCCTTTTCAATTTGCTTCCGATGTCTATGCACGTACCATTGCGTACCTTCAACAGGCACGTCTAGAATTTATAATCCAAATTTTAATACCACTGAATTCTACTGAAAGCTAAGAAAAACCAGGGGATTATGGTGTCCGGATAGAAATTTTGTACATGTAGCTGCAATAATGTAGCCCTTTCCTTTCTTTTCTTTCTTTTTTTTTGGGGGGGGGGGGTCCTTATACCTGAAAGGCGTCGGAACCGTGGGGGGGGTCTAAATCCCCCTTTTTTGTTGCAAAAACAGACATGATATAGGCATTGGAAAAAAAACATCAGATTAAAAAAATCGGAGAGAGTTACATTATTGCAGCTAGAAATTTTGTTATCGCTATCAGAAAAAACAAGCCGTCGCGCTACCACACAATTCGCCGTCGACCCGTCACGCTGTGGCGCTGTTGCAGTGACGTAGCCTCGTTAGATGCCAACTTTTTTCAGTGTCGACTTCATTTACAGTACCGATTTTTCCCTATACAATACTATTCAATTCACTTTGCTCACCTTAAGTGGAAATGAGTCATCGTTCATATAGCCAATCGCATCTCGGGTCTTTCCGTCAGAGGTCGGAAAAACAACGTTTACCTCGAATGTATTAATTAACATCGCTGGATGTTAAAAATTTATACATTTCCTGCTTAGTCAAATGTAGGATAGACGGAGTTAGAAGTCCCTTCTATAGTATATTTTAGGTAATATCATTACATTGAATAAAGTTAAACTCCATATTCCACAGACAAAAGGTCTCCATGCATTTATTTCAAAGATCATGAAAAAGGGGGATTGTCATGGCGTCTACCATATACATTCGAGGTCGTTTTTCCGGTAGTCGGAATGGTCCGAGAAGTTGCGATTGCGTTCATAGCATCCTAAAGGCTGAACCGGCAATCCTCGGCTACGCTTCATTCAAACCTCGGATGTGATTAGTGGAGGAATACGCATCAGATCCTTACATTACTCCACCAGAAACTGCCTTATCATTCATTTTATATTTCGCTCTGCATAACGTTCTTCGAAAATGTGCAATTCTTTATCGTAAACAGGTTTTGATTAACCTCATGGTATAAGGTTTTGAAAGCAAGAAAAAACTGTTCAAGAATGTGCCGCAAAATAACTTCGATTTCAAATGTATGATATTTGAAAAGAATTCAAATAGGATCAAATGCATGACTGAATCAGCAAGATGGTAGATCAACGTTGACGTCCGACGTTAAGTGCGAGTCATCCGAGGAACTCCGAATGCTACGAGGGTTGTCCAAAAAGTTCGTGGACAATGACGTTTTCGTCAAAATAAATGGTTCTATATGCATCTTTTGTATGACAAAATATTTCTTATGAAAAACCAAGTCAGAATGGTTTAATTTTTATTTAGGAAACTTAATATTTTTGTGAAAATCAGGGTTTTTAAAGATCGCAGATTGTGCGCACGGACCACCCAGGTAGCACAACAACGTTATTAAAACGTTATAAAAACGTTTTCAAAATGTTATATTTACATTCAGTATAATTTTCCTTATCAAATCCATTAGAAATCTACGACGTTCAAATTTCTATAACACACGCGAAACCTTGTCACCGCGCGTTAGAATACACAGTAGGAATTATATGCATTTTCAATACTCTAGATACATCAAAATGTAAAATGTTTTATTTCAATTAAATAAAAAACTACAGCCCTGAAAAATTAACAAAGAAATTAAAGTAATGTGCATTAAGAATAAATTTGTCATTTTTTTTAATCGCAATGTTTGTTTGCGTAATTTAACTTTGCAACGTCACTTAACGTCATCTGATGTCACAAACGGCTCTTACGTCTATTAACCACGATAGTTTTGAAGGGCGCTAAATACACATTAAATGTAAACGAAATAACCAATTATGAAGAAGGAAAATTAGAGAATGTAAATATAAGCATTGAATTCATATTTTTGGCTGTCTTCGGTCCTATAACACACCTGGCCGTGCCGACAAATTATCATACCGCGCTAACGCGCGGTATTCAATTTGTCGGCACGGCGAGGTGTGTTATAGGACCGAAGACAGCCAAAAATATGAATTCAATGCTTTAATAAAAACATTTTCTAAAACGTTATTACAACGTTATTTTGTATGGTTTTTGTAACGTTATCATAACTTTTTTCAAAAACATTGTACTGCAATGTTTTGAAAACGTTTTCAAAACGTTTTTAAAAACGTTTTCAGAACATTTCTTATATGTTTTAAATCGTTTAAAAATATTTTACAACATAAAAATCATTGTACTTCCTACAGTTTTAATTAGTTTAAACTTTTTTACACAAATGTAATCCATGAACTGTTCTAAACATCCGCACAGTCAATAAAAGTCTTCTTAACAGAGAAGATTTGTCACAATTGAAATTAAAAAAAAATCACAATATCCTTCTTCCTTTGAAAGTCATGTTTGGCACTTTTGGCATTTGGATCACTTGGACTTCTTTGTTTTAATTCTTCTGAAAAACAAAGATTTAGAGAACAACTTTAATTAACAAAATGAATGATCAATCTCGCAAATCATTTTAGTAAAATACATGTATTATATCCATGCATTAGAAGAATTAAAACTATATATTGTCATACATCCGATAAATACAAGGAAAGTCTTTCTAAAATTATTTATAAAAAAATAAACTTTGTTGTTTTTTTTTGACAACAGTATGTTTTGGGCAAAAGTTCTATAAAATAAATATTGTATACTAAATAAATCTATCTCCGTAATACATTCTTGTCAGGAAACTTCAAACATACCTTAAAGAATAAATTCCCTGGTAAATCCCTCCAGCATGGTGTGCCTAAGCAAACCTTATTATGTCAAATTCCTCCCACTACATGTGATCGCTGTAAATGAAATATGATATTTATTTCCAAGAATTGTATATTATGAATATATACATGATACTGTATAAAAATACAAATCATTTTACATTTTCAAAGAAGTATTTAACTTGTTAAGCCCCCCCCCCCCCCCACACACACACACTTACACACACTCCCCCTCGCAAACATACTCCATCTATTCAAATCATGTTTTGAAGCACTCAATTTTAAAATCTATCTCTTAACCTGGGGTTATTATACTACACATGAAGTACACATTAATTAAGAAAACTCACACTAGACACAAGTCATAAAACATTTATGTAAATGCACAATCATGATAAACTTAGATGATCAGTTTACTTCAAAAACAACAAATTACCCGCCCAGTTCAAATATCAGTGAAATGTTCAACCATTTACAAGGAATGATTTAGGCTTATACATACACTTACTACTATAATACAATTTCTTAATATATGTATACATATTGAATACTACTTTAAATTCAACATACCATACGATTATGTAAAATATTACCTTAATCCTGTTCTTTGTCTCTCAAAAATGCTGCCCGGTTTTTCAAAATCTTGATAAGTTGACCTATATAGATCACGTGGAAATAGTTTGCAGCAAGGAGCAAGCCCTGACCACGTCATCCCGCTGTGCCACTCAATAAACTTTTGATAAACACATTATCAAGGAGGAAACAACACAAGTGAATTAAATGCACAGCCTTACTTTGTTGAACTACATCACATCTTAGAAAAATACATTAAAACGGCTTTTTATACATTTTTTTCACAATGTTTTTAGGAATGTGGCATAAAACAATCCCCCCCTCAATATGCTTTAAAAGACATCCCCTAGTAATCAATAACAAACAAACAAAAAAGTAAATGCTAAATCAGTAAATGTATTTTTTAAGAATGGAATGATATAGATGTTTGTTGTTTCTATAACGTTTTAACAATGTTTTCCAAACATTTTAAAACAATGTTATAATCATGTTTTCTGGTAACATTTGTACCTAGAATTAATTACAATTTTAATTCAATTTATTTTTTTTCTAAATTTGAGTAAACGTGACACAATACACCACATACTGTGCAATATGTTCTTAATATCATACTGTAGATTTTAAGAATATATTTCCCCAAACAATGGAATGTGAAAACACTTTTTACCATGCTTTTTAAGTAATAAAAATTATTCTTAATATCATTACAAAAATGTTATGCAAAAATGTTTTTATAAAAACTTCCGTCCAACCAGTATCAAACGTTATGAAAAACATTTTAAAAATGTTTTTGAGAAACGTTTTCTAAAATCGTCATTATAACCTAGATAAAACGTTAAAAAAACATTTTTCAAACGTTATGTCAAAAACGTTTTGGAATAACATCCTTACAACCCGAATATAATGTTATGAAAACGTTTTGTGCTACCTGCATGCAGTCTGACGTTAAGCTTATTTCATTATTACGTCAAATATTTGGATTTTGACTTAAAAAACACATGTTCGGGACACACACTTCATTTCTTTATTAAGGCGCAACGCACTTCAAGTGTTAGCAATAACCTTTAAGTATAGATTATAATTTATTTAATTTTTAAGATTCAAAGAAATGCACAAAAATTTACGAGCACCATCTAAATAAACAGTTTGTATACACACCCAGTTTGACGCTGCGCTAGATTTATAACAACGTCATGAATAGAAATCTCCATTTTCAGTAAATTACATGACTGTGTTTTTAAATTCTTGTAGTGTCTTCGAATTTGTACAAACTGTTGAAAAATCGTATATACCAATCTGAAATTGATACATTAAATATATTTCATTAATTTTAAGTTGTTTTAGCAAATATTTTGTCTCTTACGTTGTTTCAACCTTATAAAAACTATTTTTTTATTTGACACTGCCAAGTGCGGACGGCCGACGTCGCTTTTTTGCAGAGTTTTGACACATATTTGTTATAGCCTCTTTATTTGTTTTACATAAAACTGTTTAATTTTTTACTTGTCTTATACAGAAAATAATCATTTTAATTTGAACACTTTATATCAGAGTTTATGTCATTTTAACCTTGGTCCGTGAGCACTTATCGCGACCTTTATAGACCCCGATTTTCACAAAAATATTACGTTCCATCAATAAAAATTAAATCATTCTGATTTGTTTTTCATAAGAAATATTTTGATATACAAAAAAATTATATAGAACCATTTATTTTAACTAAAAACGTCTTTGTCCACGAACTTTTTGGACAACCCTCGTAAAGGCTTACAAGGCTAGCCTGGTCCCCTGGCTCATCTTGCTAGGGCAGGAGAGCCCTAGCACATGCCTAGTGACGCGGAGTATACGAAGCAAAACAGGGAAAGGGAACCAGGCTAACGCGTATATTAGGCCTTAAAGCTTTCAGCTGCCGCTAGGGTACGCTGTTATGGACGATAACTCGTTGCTGAAACTTGTTTACAGCAAGTCTGAGGTATTGAACTGTTTATAGAAAAGTCAGTTTTAGCATTTCTCAAGTGTTTCTCTGCTGTCAGTAGAATCCAGTGGTTTTAAAAATGTTAAACTTATTTACTATATAGTTGCAGACAATTTGGCCCTTTGGCTGATATTGGTGTCTCGGGATTATGCAGGATGTGATATGGAAAAGGGTATGTATTATTCTCTATGTATTGTGGTTCCGGAAAAGGATATTTTTAAAGATTTTTCATATACATTCCTATGTAAACATGTGATGGGACATTGTGGTCCCGCCCTACCCTCGAGGGTTATGATTTGAATAAATTTGAAAGTGCACTTCATGTGGATGTTTCAACATGAGTTTCATCTTTCCTGGCCCAAAGGTTTTGGAGAAGAAGATTTTTAAATGTTGCCATTAATTTTTCATTAAATTCATAATTATCTTCGCTTGGCTTTTCATTTGAATCCCCTCCACCTAAGGATACTTTATGACAAGTTTGGTTGAAATTGGCCCAGTGGTTCTTGGGAGGAAGATAAAACGCGAAAAGTTTTTGACGACAACAACGACGACAGACAACGGACAGGTGAGCGAAAAACACTTTAATAATTTGTAGTTTTTAAAAAAAAATTGTACTGATTGACACATCTATATAATAAAACATTTTCTTTGAAAACAGTCATTGAGTAATATGCAATACTATTAGCTGCTCAAAATAGCAACATATTGATTCTAATACTTCCTTGAATTTGCTGCTACATCAAAAAACAATTGTCTTCCAATTATACAATAATGGATTATGTATAAGGAAATATGATAATTGTATAAAAAAATATGAATTACAATAAATTGATTTTAGGAGAATCATATGGAAACACATTCTTGCTATGGCGTCATTCGATCTGCCTGTTTATTAAGCTTTAAACGTTTATTTCCATATATAATCTCAAAGCAAAAATGAAACTACTATTCAGAATCTGAGATTAATATAACACGTCTTTTCAACGGAAAGTACAGCAGTTACATTGTGATCACATATTAAATATGTGCTTTGGTCAAAAAGTTCGAAAATTATTTCTATATTAGCAAAACAGACCTAGACCTTGGAGTTTGACCCACTTTTACTGAAAATTTTTAACTTTTACTTTGGCCATATCTTTTGAACAGTAGATACTAGGACATGTATACATGTAATTCATATGTGTATTCTTTGTTGAAAGACCTTTCATTAGATACCAACAACCTTGGCCCTTTGACTTTCACCTTGTACATTTACGTTCCTGTGAAAAAACTTAAACCTTGGCCATAACTTTTGAGCGGTAAGGGATAGGGATTTTATACTTCATATATGTAATTCTTGTGAGGAAACTTTTCATTGGGTACCTTTCATTGGATACCAACAATCTTGACCCTTTGACCATCACCTTTTAGATTTCCATTCCTGTAAAAAATTTTAACCTTGGCTATAACTATTGAACGGTAAGGGATAGGGCTTTCATACTTCATATATGTAATTCTTGTGAGAAGACTTTTCATTGGAAACCAAGCACTACCCTCTGACCTTGACCTTTGAGTTTGACCTACTTTAAAAAAGCAAACCTTTACCATAATTTTTAAAGTGTTAGGGCTAGTGCTTGCATACTTTACATATTTAATTTTTTTGACAAGACCTTTCATTTGCTAACAAGAACTTCGACCCTTTGACCTTGACCTTGGAGTTTGACCTAATTTAAAAAAAAATAACCTTTCATTGGATACCAATTACCTTGACCTTTTGACCTTGACGATTTTTGTACTTATTTGAAAAACTTTTACATTGGCCTACTTTCAAATTTTACAATTGTTTTCCAGTGAGAATACCCTATTTTTTAATTAAATTTGCATTTAAGAAAAGATTAATTTTGCTATGTTGCCATGCGGGGGCATCAGTGTTTCACAAACACATCTTGTTTTTAATAGATCAATAAGGATAATGATAGATTTTAAATATATATATTCGAATTTAGTAATTTAAAAACAATATTTGTTACACTAATCGAATTTCAATAAATTTGAAAAAAAAGCCAAATAAATAGATATAAAATATCCCATGGTTTGTAGTTGGATATGATTTTTATCCAACGTGGTTGTGAGGGGATAAAAACACACGAGTTGGATAAAAATTATATCCAACTACAAATCATGTGATTCTTTTTATACCATGTTTCATACTTCACAACCGATGTTTTACACTGTTTTTTTTCATATGGGATTCCGCTATATTTTACTTCATCACGCTACCGCAAAAACTATTGTGACGTCATAACTGCTCTTAAGTGTGGGATATGAAAACGATATCACATGAGCTATCCAGCAGGAAATTCCTCTATTTTTCCTTTTTTAAAATGACACAAACTTACCACCATACTCTTCTAATCCATTTCCTCTATTAATCAGTACAAAATAATTCATGTGGAATTTGTTAATAAGAAAGACAGTCACCTTAACTACTACCCCATGATGATCAGGCTTTTAGTACTATTTGTCGTTATCTGTATTCAGTCAGCCAGGAGTCAAGACGGTCGGTGTGACGGGTTCGTATTTAAGAATTTAAGTGGTTTAATTAGATGAATTTGATTTACCATGGTGATCACTATGGAAACTTTGATTTACTTTCGAAAAACTTTGATAGATTTTGGTGATGCCTTTTAATTTGATTTACAATTGTGATAACTTTGCGACTTTAATTTACTATAAAATTGATAATTATGCTAAAAAAATTCGGTTTTTTTTTATTGAATTTCGGAAATATAAGGATATTGTCAAAATGTATAATTTGCAATACATAATTTTTAATATGATTTTATTTTTTTTTTTTTAAGTCCGTTGATGTGCTGTCGAGGATTTGTATACATCGAAGAAGGAAATATCTGTTTGCGTAAGTGTACGATCCTGAATTAAAAAAAAAATATATATATATATAGAAAGCTATTTTTTTCAAAATGTCAATAGGCAATTGTTTTCTGTCTTAAGCTTGCACGTATCCATCATTTGGATTAGCATGCAGAGAAAACTGTACTTGTCCTGAAGAGAACTGCGACAGTTTTAAGGGATGTAATACATTGAAAACTACAAAAGGTAATAAAAAAAGAAACAATTAAATGAAATAAATTAGATTCCTCTACGCATAATTTAAATAATGTCATATATTATAAACATTATATATATAAAGATGACTTATTTCTATAAATGTACTTCACGTCGTCAATTTAACTCTTACAGTTGTATTTTTAAATTCAAAAGAGGCTTTTCTAAAATGTGAATTCATTCAAATTTAATCATATATCACCATTAGGTACAAGAGTACAATATTCAACAATGATTTAACAAATGTGATACATGTTTCCATTTTTTCTCTCAAAAGTGTATATAAGTACTGCTATGAATAATGCAGAAATAGCATCAGAGCTCACAAGCAACAGAACATCCATGACGAATGTAATGAAAAATGCTACAATAGCCACGAAAATCTATGTGATAGGTTCGAAGAGACAGTTTTATTTTCCATACTTTGAGAAACCAATGTTGTTCAGTGTGATATGTCTTTCTATGCTGTTGACTGTATTGTTTGTTTTCTACATATTGACATGCATGATTCAAAAGATGAGAGTGAACATTACGATAGAAACTATGGAAGTAGGTGAAGCAAGAAACAGTGTTGATCACACCGGGTTGTATGATGTAGTACATGAGAATTAATTCATATAAATATATATATTGCAGTTATATTAGATCATATATTTATTGTGTAGCTACATGTAATTTATGTACCTGAAAAATATATGTTTAAATGTTTTTATTTCTCATAAAAGTGCATTTCAGAATTTCTTATATTTTTTTAATAAAAAAGGTATGTTATTTGTGAAGTTTATTTAAGGTATTCGATGAAAGGGTAATTAAACAATGTAGAATCATTTTAACAAGTAAAAACCGAATAAAAATTATTCAATATACACCGTTGATTAAAAATTTTTCCAGTTAACAACCATATTTTTAAGAATATCTTGTGATATTGTTGCTTGAAGTTTGTCTTAAGATTTGTTTTAAGTGTTATAAATGTAACAGTTTTTAAAACAATATTTACACTCATCTAGCATTTTTATACCAATTGAGGCTGATAGATTTAACGCAAAGTAGCATATTTGTAGCGGAAGCAGATAGCTCTTTTGTAAGTGAAATCACACCTACATCCATTGTATTGTACATGTATATTGCAATCATGAAATATCCAATATATCTTAACAAAATGCACTTTTACCTCTGTGATTCTTTAAAAGCAAATATAGATTTTTGCTTAAAAAGTGCATGCTTTTATCTGAATGATCTATGGACAAATAAAAAATGAATAATAATATTTATTTAATTATTATCTCGTTGCAAAGGGCTTGGAGCAGATATTATTATGTTACATAATCGTGTTGCTGTGTTTTTATAAACTTTTAAAAACAATGTATTTACTGTATTTCATTATCATTATTTTTTATTACAATTGTATCATCATTAATTGAAGCTTTGATTAAATGGTAACCAGATCTATGTGTCTGAAGAGTTTGCTGATCGTTCATTAAAATTATACTTTAGTGATGAAACAGTATTGAACTTTTCCTTATTATATTTTAAATATATATAATATCTTACACAAAGTCGTACAAATCAAATATGAATTTCGAGCTTTACAACATATATATTTAAAAATTTGATTCACAGCATTTTCGATAAGATGATGTCTCATATCATTTATAAGTAGGATATTTGTGTACAGGAAAAGAAGTAAACTTTGATATTAAGTATGCACCTTCCTCATCCTACATACCTCATCAAAACTATGAACACATTTAATTGGTTTAATACCCAAGAGCAGATGGGATTTTCAAATATTTCATGCATTTTCAATGTCCAAGTATTAAAGCCCCGTCTTTACACAAGAACTCATGATTCAGAAGCAATGAAATTCAAACAAAAATACGAAGAAGCACTCTAACTATAACTATGTGCAAAGTTATTTGTTTAATTTCCAGGTGCAGAGCCAAAAATTTTCAAAAGCTTTTTTGCATTTTCATCAAATAATCAGTGAAGCCCTGCCCTAAGACCAGAACCCCTGGCCTAGGCGCCATAAAATTGTTACTTTTGGAAGAGACATTAAGGATAAGGAAATAACGAACAGTATTCAATCTCAACGTCCATTAACGTCATTTTACATAGTACAATTATTACCCCTGAACAGAGGAAAAGATTTTTGAAGAATTTGCACATTTTCACTATATATACAGTCATGCAATCTTATCAGTCCCGCCCTAACGCCCTAACGCTAAACCGTTGACAAAGGAACAATGAAGTTCATAAATTTTGAAGGAGACATGTCAATGAATTCAAGTATTTGCGCGATATAATTATTAAAACCCCGCCCTGACACCAAATCTCCTGTCCCTGGGGCCATGTTATTTACAATTCGGAAGAGAGTTCCTTTCTCAACTAAACTATGTATATTGTTTGATTCTTTTGAATTTCGATCGGGAGGTCTTGGTTCGATTTTCGCTCTCGGCGCCGCTTCAAACGTAAAACATAAAAATGTTTCTTCGCCAAGCGCTCGGCAATAGAGTTGAAAGTAATGAGTCTTTCGAATATGACCTTAAAACATAGGCCCCCGTGCCATGGTAGGCCTTGGTACGATAAAGAACCCCCACTGATCAATGGCCCTGAGTGCCGAGCATAGGTTTAAATCTGAAGCCCTTGCAGGCATACCGTGATGTCTCTATATGCGTCTCTATTCTCATCGAATGGAAAGTTAAACAATGTACAATCAATCAATTGATCAAAGGTTTAATTTCCAGGAACAAAAGAGAAGATTTTAAAAAAAAACTATGTATTTTCACTAGGCTAGCTTAAATATTGATATTCTTAACATAATTAGCACATTTGCGCCTGTTTTGCATACGGAAGAATATTGTTTTAAAAAATAAATGTTTGTATTTAAGAATGATTTTAAAATTAAACTGAACATCGTTTAATCACAGGAGTTCGCGTCCCCATTAATTTTATCGAAATTTTCAGTAAAAAAAAGGATATGTAATACCTATAATATAATTTTTGATTGAAGATTAATTGTGCGACAGCCTTGATATTAAGCGAGGGGTACCCAGGTGACCTAAAATGCGTTGCACTCCTTGTGTTTTTATTATACCTATTACGTATCTTTTTTATTTACTGAAACTTCGGTAAAATTGATAGGTACGCGAACTCCTGTGGTTTAATACACTGTATATGCATGTGTTATTTAGTAAAATGTTATGAAAACTTTCAGCAGTTAAGATTTTTTATCTCTTCTAATATAACAAAATGATTTATTATTGAACATTGGCCTTGTTAAATATTGTACATGTATTTACATTCCTAAATTCTTCCGTTAGAAAACAAAATTATAATATAACTGAGGAGTTGTGACACAAAACATACTGGATTTTTTTTATGAACTTCAAGTAATATTTAGGTAATATATGTCTACAATGTGATATAAACAACTCAACAAAGAAACCTAAATTTTAAACCTAAAAATGAAGAGAAACGTCAAATATTTACCTTTCCAATGTGTTTGTTTAAGATAAAATTACAAATTGTAAATGGATTTTATTTCCCCATCAATGCATTGGCGTGGTTCCAGAAAAAAAATTAGTTCAGGGCGGAACAAAAGCTAGACAGAAGCAGGGCTTGGAGTACGTGGATTGGCGGAATCAAAGCATGTAAGTATAAACTATAAGGCATAACTGTAAGATTTTTCTAAATTTTATAACGATGATCGATCGATTGGCTTGCGTGATAATTTTAGGCATAAACGCCTTCGGCAGATGTCTTATAGACAATATTCAGTGATTCTTCCGAGTGCATAGTAATGGTCTAAAGAAGCCCTTTACCGGTATATGGTGACGTCTCTATTTTACTGAAAACATCGAATGGGATGTAAAGCAACATACGTGTAAAATCAATTAATCAAAACTTGAAATAAATTACCTTAGCATAATTAAAAGCATCTGAGCCATAGCCTGCCCCGAAAGCTACTCCCATGCTAAAAAAATCCACGAAGAAATATGAAAGATATTTTGTCTTCTTTCAGGGTCAAGGCTAAGGTCTTCGAAACAGAACGTTGATTAACTTTACTACGAAGAAATCAAGGGAATAGAAACATGCATAAATTGGTAACTTTTTGAAACTGACATTATTTTTATAAAGCTGTTTAATTATAATATACAATAAAATATAATCAAACTAATTGTTAAATAATATCCTATAACCCACGCTATAAATTACGTTTGTTCCCATTGAAGGACACTCACGTGATGGATGCATAGTATGTGACTGAAAGTAGGTAATTAACAAATGCCAATATCAAAAGGGCATACCATAATCAAAATTAAAATCTTATATAAACTAACAAAACATAAAATTGTGTACTAAATTAATAATTTATTATTTGAAATAAAATGAAATCATCTTCGCTAGATATCATTTTATGTAAAAATTATGTTGTATGTTTATAACGAAAATGCTTTGCTTGAGAATTTTTAGAATGTTTTCCAAAAACATGACACGTTTTTTTTTTAAATTACAATTATTCAACTAAGGACAACATATTTAACACTTTCCTGTTTTAAATATTCTTTTTCCTTTATTCAATTACTTCCTTGCTCTTCAAAAATAGAAAGTACTCATTTTAGTGTGTTTCATTTCATGTATGATTTTTTTTTTATCTTTTCAACGCGATTATGGACATTTGCTACAGTACAGTTTGCTAGTTTATAGTCAAATAATTCGTGATGTAGTTGGTGATCGGTTTTTTTTTGGCAGTAGATTTTTGTAAGAATTCACATTAAGGGTTATGTTTAATTTATTTAGGGAATGTTGTTATAAATTCATTGTTAAATATTGGTGAGTAAACAATACAGACCTGTCCTGTAGGCATATTTCAGGAACAGTGCTAGCGCTTCATGAAAAGATCCCAACAGATATTTCTACGCCTAATTTTACACAAGTATGGTATTTAAATTTCACAGATGGCTTGCTAGAAAAACCAACAACAACAACCAACCTTGATTGTTTTTATCCCTTGCAATGAAGCTGAATAAAATATATTAACGCAAACATGAGTGTATACATGGATATGAAACTCAAAATCCGTTTATAACGTTAGTTATTTGGAAATCTGTATTCCCTGCTTAAAAGAAAAGAAAGGCATATGCAGATCGGAGTTGCGGACGCGGCAATTGGGTGTAGTGGTATGATTTTCATTTCAAAAGCAAAAAAATTCCCTATGATATATTTCTCAGAGGAAAGGTATAACATACAAACAGGATATATAAAAAAAAATCTATTTACCTTTGACCTCTTTATATCAAAATTAAAGGAGTCTTCTTAAAAGACAGTACATTATGCGGAAACGAAAGTGTTATAGAAGGATAGACAGACGGACCGACGGACGGACAGAGAGATCCAAGTGAATTTCCCTTCTTTCAGTGAAAACGGCGGAGAATATAATGCAAATCTTTCCATTCATCATTTTAAAATATACTGGAAAATGACAATATGATCAAAAAATATTTCAATCAAGCAAACGGGCCCTATAAAATTGAAAATCTGACCTTTTTTCAATGTTTAAGCTTGTATAAATAGAAGCAACGCAGGTTTCTTTTCTTTTGGGGTGGAGGATGGGAGAATTAAACAGATGTCGATATGCATTATCTCAGGTATATTTAATGAAAGAGTTATTTTTATTTATCAGACTCCTCCTTCAATGAAAGAGATATTTCAGTAGAATATCACTTACTAACTCACTTTGCGTTTTTGATTTTGCGGAAATTACGTATGATATCATAGCTATCCAGATAAATATATTTGGTCAAGATGAAATATTAGCATCATGCAATTAAAAAATAATTTTCTAGTACTGTCAAAATACATCAACTTATATCCAGGTAGTACTTACATGTATTAACGTCATTTAAGCCTTGATATAAGAATATATTACCTAGCAATTTCAAGATAGCTATTTGCCCCGTGGGGATCCAGGTCAGAATAGGTCCTCAGTACCCCCTTGCTGGTCGAAAAAGGCGACTAAATGGGGCGGTCCTTCGGATGAGACCGTATAAACCGAGGCCCCGTGTCACAGCAGGTGAGGCGCGATAAAGATCCCTCCCTGCTCAAAGGCCGTAAGTGCCGAGCATAGGCCTAAATTTGTAGCCCTTCATCGGCAATGGTGACGTCTCCATATCAGTGAAATATTCTGGAGAGGGACGTTAATAGGTATACAATCAATCACTCAATCTATCAATCAAAATAGCTATTTAAAAAATGAATAAATCTGTTCGATTAGACAATATATAAAATGTTCATCTCGACAAACTAAGATGCTATATTGACTTAATATGATGTCTTATGTTGAAGAGTATCTTATGTTGAATAATTTATGTGGATAGCATATATATGCCAAAATTGTCATCGATCATTATTGAAAAACGCGGTTGTAAAAAAAAATATGGTTGTGTATAGATGATAATGAATATGGTGTTTCCTTGTTCTAAAATGTGCTATAAAAAGTTTTTATACCCGACTGAAAAAAAGTTTGGGACCTGTGCACTTTAGTCCTAATTTTAGATAAAATGATATATACGGACATATACATGTACTATAGTGTGAAAATGACAGACGTAAGCCACCATAGTTGATATAAATGAATTGAATTAAATTAAATGAATATGAATGCAGTATGATTAGATTCTTTTTCAGGATGTTATGCACCTACATCTTCTTTGTTTTATTTAACTTAAACCATATAGTTGGACAAAAAGGGATATGCGATGGGTATGTTTTGAATTTCATTACTTTGTTTTGCAGTAAATAGATTTTAATCTCAGTTTCCAATCGGCAAAATGCTATTGTAATTATATGTTTAATGGATAAAATACTGTACATGAAAGTGAGAAAGGAAAGACCACTCGTTCCCTCAAAGAACTTCTTCGGTAAATCATTTCACATGGAAGTAATTATATTACAGAAAACGATTTCAATTTATACTATCTTGCACGTTTCAACATGAAATAATCTAACACTATTCTTATGTGAAGTCGATGCAATATCGTTAGTTGAATCATATGATCGTATGATATTTCTCAACTACGTGTTGACATTGAAAAAACCACAGATCACAATGCAATGAAGAAGTTCTGAAGAAAGGTGTATACTTCATTCATTTTTATTAAATAGTATAATTTTAGCATTTGAAAAAAAAAACAATATTCTGTGTATTTAAGTAAAATAAGGTATGATCGTTTTAACTGTATACATGAAATTTGTCTTACCAAAAAATCTGAAGATATAATAGGGTGTTTTCTATTAAATAAGACATTTGCTATCTCCTCTGTTTAGTGATATTTTTTTTGGTGTATGGTTTAAAAAATAAAGTCTGCATTTCCGTGAATGTTGCAAGATAACCTTCAAGTTCGGACCAATGCTATGCGATAGAATTGTAAAGAAAGGGACATGAGATACATGGGATGTTGTTTAAAAGATAAAAACCGAGGCGTTAAGAGATACTTTAATATTTCAAACAGCATATCGGGCCCAAGGCGGTTACAAGCATCATTCACGTCAACAAGAACTTTATTACCTAAAAATACGGCTGATCGTTTCTTCTTTAGAGAAACAAATTTTACTACCATTTTGAGATTCCCCTGTTCCATGTAACATCAGAGGGTCAAATAACAAAATCTGTACAGTCTATCATCAAAAACACGCTGTGTAAATGTTGTGGGAAGGTCCGTGGGACGGCCAAGTTGGACTTAACATTCATCAGTTGGTTAATAATACACACTAAAAAAACTGCAGAGGACGACACATCGATATAGTTATATAAATATTTAATTCACCCTGAAATATTGATGCTTTTCTTATCATTGCATGCTTATGACATTTCTTACTGTTACCCGTTATCAATTGAATCCTAAACCATCTGACTTAAGTATGAAACATGAAAGTATAACACTAGAAAATTGATAGCTTATCTTGACTAAAGGAAACATCAGTTTGTATCAAGCATAAAAGTAGATGATTAGACAGAAGTAGTTCTTTCTGAACAATCCAGACAATTTTCTTAACTTGATGCAAAATCTTGTATTGAGAAAAAAAATACTCTGATTATAAAAATATTTTATCAGAATGAAAAGATAGTGTTTTGGGGATTATGTCAAAAATTGAACTACTTCTTTACAAACACGGCCACAATTACTGGTACACCCAACCAATTCCAGTCCATTTCAATCACATATATGTACATCGGATTTCGATCAGACAGGTTCCTTAAATTTTATGATGCAATTTTAACGTAAAAATAATTTCGAAAATATTTGGAAGAAGTTTATCTGATTAAAATAAGATCTAATTTACAGCCCAAGAAAGTGTTGCAGAGGATTCCAATTAGATTCATCAGGAAATTGCGTCAGTAAGTTAATATACTGTTGTATAGTTTGATGATATTAACATTTTGCTTTTAAGATAAAACCAATCATAGTATTTCTTTAATTTTCGTATCTGGTTAATTGTAGAATTATAAAGATCGGAAAAAAAAATCTTTTTCTCTTGGATTCGTGGGACACAATTAAGGCTAAATTGTTGCATTTTTCAATGTTATGACTATAACAACATTTATTTATATATATGTATAACAGACGTAGGTACATGTACATGTACATCCAAACTACATGTACGAGGGTCGTTAGAAAAGTTCGCGGACACATTGAATTACGGAAAATCTGTTGTGTACTGTGAAGTATAACCTATGTCTGAATAAATTCCTACATTTTGTTTATTGGTATGTAAAAAATCACGTCCATATTATAAAATCTTGAATATTTACAACGATTTTTACAATGAGGTCATAAGATTCACGGAGCATTCACTTGACGTAAGGGGACGTGACAACCAGTGTCACCCCTGAACCAGATTTTAACCCGTTAAGCTTTGTCGCAGTTCTATAAATCTATCATTTCTTCAGATATTTCTAATCTTTTTTCTACTGTAAAATTAAATATCTATATCAAGACACGTTACTTTTCTTCTATAATGTCATTTGTAACTGATTCGGATATTATTGAGATCTTTCAAAAAGTCTATGCAGTTAATCGATCAGGTATGGAAACTATGCAAAACCATAGGCGCAACACAACGTCCATGCGATACGGGGGTATTGAAGTATCGATGGAGTAAATCATTCAAAATGTTAATCATTCCATTCTTTTGAAGCTACAACCATTTGAAAACTTGTCCTTTGTAGGTGTAGGAAATTCCCAACAGCATCTTTAACATTTTAATCTCTTTTTAGACATTTTCCAGTCTGCCTACACAATTTTGTACCTAGTGCAGTGCTCAATGACGCTCAATGACGTTCCGATTTTTGGCTGTGTTTTTACGCGTTGATCATTTATAAACGGCTATAAAACAGCCAAATACCCTCCGATTTAGTTCAAAATTTCTCTCAGTGACGTTTCATAAATACTTTAGCGGCAGGCAAAATACCAAAAATCTCTTTGCACTACAATTGTGCAATTTTTAATTTTGATAAAGAGTCTTTGTGATGTAAACGTGCCAATATGTAGCATGCTCCGTGAAGCAAGTTTTATAAAAATAAAAAAGCTGTATATTTTTCAATAATCACCGAAGAGCACCAAATTCTTGTATATTTATTGGAAAAAAGTTAAAGATTTTATCTGGAAAGTTTGACCGGTTTCGTTGAAATAGCGCGCTTACAATAGAACTTGTCCGCGAACTTTTCTAACACCCCTCGTACACTGATAACAGATAATTTCAAAGGCGATTATTGGTACACACTGTAGTACACTCAAAATATTTTATCATTAGATACATGTATATATGTTTTTCTTTCTTTTAATCAAAATAAAATATCACACACTCATTTAATTGCTTTTATTACTAATGCTTTTTCTTACTGATGTAAAAACCGTTGATATATACTTAGAATGCATTTATCCTGCCTTTGGACCTAGATGTAGGCAAAACTGCACATGTCCACAGTCGGATTGTGACATCTTTACAGGATGCAAACTTGAAAGTATTCATACAGGTTTAAATTATTTTTATTTCCACCTTTGGTCAATTTTGTAAAACCTCAAAAGATTTTAGCCCTTGTCAATTTCCCTCATATGTTTAAATAAATGTATTTTCCTCCTTTTTAGTTACAATTCAAAGTGCAGATATAACATATAGAATTACACTACATTTTCAAAATTGATGAAGTTATTCTTATTATTTTTTAAAAAATGTTCTTGCAGGTAAATCAATATATATCACGGAAATGAAAACAGGTAATACATTTTTCCTTAAAACTAATTTTTTTCCAGCCTTATTTAATGCATTAATTATTTCTGTGAAATATACACTTTGTGTACGCCTGGATAAAATGTCTGCCAAATTTTGCAGAAAAAATACTATAACGTATTCTCCGCCCTGAATGTTATCACAATGGTCGGTATCTCAAAATATCAAAATTTCTAATAACCTTAATAAAATGTCCAAAATTGAAAGAAATCTCATCACTTAACTTGTCAATCAATCACTCCGATCCAAAATTTTTGCTATTAATCTATAACGATAAATCAGACTCGAAATAATGTACATTACATATAATTATATCCACAACTACAAACTCAAAGTGAATTATATTAAGGAATTTTTGGTTTATACATTTATATTTTCATATTACTCCTTACAATTAAGGTATTCAAAATACATAATTTTATTCATAAAAACCATTTATAATCATATAATTGTACATTGTTAGAATCTATATTTTAGATAGTTTCCTTAGCAAAATTGAGAAAGTAAATAATGCCAAAAACAGTATTTTTCTGAAGGCAAGCCACAGAATGCTACAATTATGATAATATGCATTATTATTATCAGGAACACCTTAAAAAAGTGGCAGTCATTTAATATATATAATATATTCCCGAAGACTTGGAATATGCGCTTATATCAAAATATTAGAAAAATCAAGTCATAAACAGAGAACAGATAAGTCAAAATTTTGATTCTGTTAATTTTTTGTTTTATCTAACATGTTTTTTTATTTTTATTTTGCAGTTTTGAAATCTCTTCAAATTGCAAAAATGGTACAAAAAATTTGTTTCATTACCATTTTTTCTGAAATTGACTTAAATCTTTTATACGTTTATGGTCTTGGACCATATTTACAGCAAAATTTCAGGGAGAAATACTTCATTTATCAAATTTAGTTTGTATGTCAAGGTACCCACATGAATGTTTTTTAAGGTGAAATGACATTGAGACGATGTGACACGCAAAAGGCATTGCTTCAGGTAGATGCATTCTGGTACAGAATATGATGAAAATATCTTATTTCATTATTTTTTTTCTTAAATTTAAATATCTGTCAATAACCATGTTTCTTATTTTAGTTTTTAATAAATTCAAAAATCCAATTTCGTGAGTGACCAAAAAGATAAAACTTTTCTCCAAAAAGTGAAGAAAAAAAATTTTTCAGAGAAGGACATGATTATTCTCAAAGAGATATCTTAGTTATATTTTTCTATTTCAGTTCCATAATTTCTCTTCCAACACTTTACATAGTAAATACCAAAATCAAATACAGATCTTCGAGCCAAGTTGTCTAGACATTTTTAATTTTTTTCTGAGTGGAAGTGTTGTAAACCTGAAAAAATCGACTTATATAAATGTGCAGAGAACTTCCAATATGGATAATGGTAAACATACATAATAGTATAAAGCGTGTGTGATATACATTAAAATTACTACCGAAAAGAAAACAAACAAATATAATGGAATAAAGAGAATTAGTCGTACGTTTCATTGTATTTCGTTCATACATGGTTATATAAAACATGCATGAACATGTTATTTTTTTAAAGAGAATTGTGGAAATTTAATAGTTTAGCATACACAAAAGTAATTGTAGATGCCAAAATCTATACTAGTAATTTGTTAAATATTCATATATTTAAGAAATAAGAACAGTACGTAGGTTAGTTATAAAAAGAAAAACAAAAACAAACAAATGAACAAAACAAAACTTGTTAGATTCATCACACATAAGGAAACAAAGCAACCTGTATTTCATAGTACTAATTTGATGTTCATACGCAATATTGTAGCATTTTGGATCTGAAATAATAATAATAATAAATGCCGACGTTTTAAAGATTTTAAATTAACTTTTAAAAACAATTAATTTACTTGTTAAAATTAAATTAATTGTCATTTATCTTACACTAAGTGGAAACAAATGCCCAAGGAAATCCTATATTCTGTGGTGATGTTTGTCTGTCATTGAGATAATTGCTATTAATTAACAGCTCAATTTCAGTTATATATAAGGAGGCTGGTCCTAAATTATACAGGAAAGAGTAACGTGTTATTGTAACAAAATCGTGGTGAACTAATGAGGACTGGAGCTGGGCGGATCAACTATTGTATCGGTAAAAATTTGCTCCACCGCGGGAAACAGACTCGCTCCTTCGGAACTGGAATCTTGCTGACGCCCTAATGATATACTTTACCTGTACACTATATACACTTCTGAACAAGGTTATTAGAGTATTTCCCTCATGCTCCCTACATGAAATGTTTACGAATCTTATGGAGTTCCACTTAAGAATAATGGGGAAATGACCTTTTGAATTTCAACATGTGGCCCAATGGGCACATCTCTTACCTAAGTTAATTTGGTGATTCCATTCTTTACCAGATTTTCCCTCTTGTTCTACTCTTGTTGTCCTCTTTACCCCCCCTCCCCATTCATGATTTTAAAAATGTAGAATCTACAATTACCAAGGATATGGAGAGAACGATCATCGGCATTTATCCCTGCTGTTCAATCCAATTCAATGAATAGAATATAATTTTTAAACCATAAGGATATGCTTCCAAAAAAGTTTCGGCTTTCCGGGCCCAGTGGTTTTTGAGAAGATTTATAAAGACTTTTCCAATTTTTTCCTATATGTTTCAATGTAAAACTTGGATTCCCTATTGTGACCCCGCCCTACCCAAAGGGGTAATGATTTTTGTGATTTAAAATTTGCCCTTAATACGGATGCTTCCACATATGTTTTAGCTTTCCTGCCCAAGTGGTTCTTGAGAAGATTTTTTAAAATTGTTTCCTATATATTTCAATATAAACTTGGATTCCCTATTGTTGTCTCGCCCTACCCCCGGGGATCATGATTTTAACATTTTAAAATCTGCACTTACCAACGATGCTTCCACATAAATTTATAAATTTATAAATTTCCGGCCCAGTGGTTCTTGGGAAGTTTTTTTTAATGACCCCACCATATTTGTGTCTTTTCTTTTACATCTTCCCTTGCAAGGGGACTTGTCCTTGATTTTAACAATTTAAACTCCCTTCCCCTAAAGATGCTTTGTAGCTTTGTACCAAGTTTGGTTAAAATTGTAAAATTGGCCTTGAGAAGAAGTTGGAAAAGTTTACAGACGGATGGACGTGCAGACGGACCGACGGTCGGATTAAAGGATAGATGGACGACGGACAAAATGTGATCGGAAAAGCTTACCTGAACCTTCAGCTCAGTTAAGCTAAAAACGTCATTTTGGTGAATAAAAAGACGCCACCATATACTCAGGAATCCTTATGTGAGTAAAATATATGTGATTAAAATTTACACGTCTTGTTATAACTGGTCTTCGGAAAAAGATTCCTGCAGAACTCCTTTGCCAAACCTTTACACCCTTTTCAGATCCCATCCAAGCCATAGACTACAAGTGTACATGTTTACTGAAGATTCACAATGAGTAAGTTACTTCTTGAAGTTTTACAATATATTTTCGTGTAAAACATTGACACGCTTATGTTACCTTAAAAGTTCATTTTTTATAAAACTGTCCGTTTATTGAATTGGCTTTTTGGGTTCATTATTCAATATTTTTTTTAATTAAGAAAGAGTTGTCCTTATTTAAACTACAAATGTGTAACTGTAAATGTATTACATTTGGCCTCTGTATTTTTTTTAGCGTTTTTTGGCGGAAGCAATATCCGCTAATTCAAGTACAACGCTAAATGCCTGGCACATATACCTATAAAGAGGAACATTAAGATATGCACTATATCAACTCCACGATAATTTGTTCTAAATCCAATTTCCGCCTTATATCGTACACGCTAAATATAAAACATTTACAGTGTATCTAGCTTGTAATTTAAGATATTTGGAGGATTTTTTTTTAAGTTAAGAACGTAGAAATGTTAATTTGATTTAGCGTATATCTAACTCTTATATATGCATATATATTGAAGACATTTAAAGTTGTACTTGAATTAGCAAACGTTTCTTTCCTTCAAAAGCGCTAAAAAGAATACATTATCAAAGCGAAATGTAATACGTAAGCTGCATAGAATTAAAGGTTCGGCTTTAAATTATTTCCCTATCCTTGGCTTGAAAACATTAGTTTTTGATGAAATAAATCTGTTAACAGCATACATGTAATGTCTGTTTATAAATATTAGTGATTTACGAACATTATCCTGGAATGAAGTTTTTATGATTTTTTCTCTTGTCTATTCAAGAAGTATTATCGAATAAATCTGTTTCTCGAAAAAAAATAATGATATACATGTACGTATTACCATATCAAAATGATCTATTTATTAAACAATTGATAATCTTATATCAATTTTTTAATCTCCTCTTGGGTAAGGCCACCGCACTTTGTATGTGCAAATGCTATTCTCCACAACACAATGACTTTGTTTTATGTCAAGATTGGTTTATATTGGCCAAGTAATTCTTTAAAAGTTAAATTTTAAAACTCTTACATATGGAAAAGAATTTGCGGACGGCATACGACCTTCATATTATGCTCGTTGTTATCATGATGATTCAGATTGATAGTTATTTAAATGTTTTGAAGGAAATATAATCGAACTAAATGCTGAAATATTCAACTGTCTTCAACAATCTGTAAAAATTGTTTATCTATAATTATGTATGTTTTGATCCCATCGAACTCTTATAAAAATCTAAGGCGTTTAACATTTATGCCCTGTACAGTGGCATAAGAATAAGTCTTTAC